TGTGTTTTTGAGTAGCATCTTATTTATTTTTCTCAACCAATTAAGCGAAGACTCAATTGATATGGAAAAAACCTCACATTTAAAAAGGGAAGTTATTTTTAGAAACTCACATTGGACCTCTCTCGCCGCCGCTAGGGTTTCCTCGCGGCGTGCGAGACCCTCGCCTAGGCGCCTCTCCCTGTTTCTTCAGGGCTTTCCCCCTGTTTTCTTCTTGTTTTCTTTCCATGGCTCTTTCGTGTATACTGGCTTGGAATTGTCGCACTTTTGGTGAGGTTTACTCGGTCCTTGAGTCAAACCAATTTGGCCTCCAACATATGCCAAACACTATCCTGCTCCCTGCAACAAACCAACCGGGGATGGAGATGAATCTGTTTCGAATAGATCTCGGGTTGGATCACGTTTCTGTGTGGAATTGTGCAGAGAGAAGGGGCGGCTTGACTCTGCTTTGGAGTGAGGAGAGTAACCTTCAAGTTTCCTCTTTCTCACCATTGATAGATCTAGGGATGGTTTTGTTGTTCTGCAGGCAATTGTGCATAGAGAAACCATCTCACATCGATGTTGTAATTGTAGATCCAGGTGGTTGTCAATGGCCATCAACAGGGTATTTTGGCCAATCAGAGATGGTTTCTCCTATGACTCGACGGCGTTTAGGTGATTTCAAGGATTTTTTTAGCAGATTGGCAAAGGAGAGGGGCTTTCTCAAATTCCAGTTGATTTCTGCGGCAGGGGCCAAAAGGGGAGAAAGCCGGTGGAGGTTGATTGGAGACGTCGGAGGTGTTCTGCAAGGGGAGAATGCCATTTCAGTCTCAAAAGGGGCTCTAGTTCCCTTATTGAAATTTGGCAACAAAGGCTTGTAAAGGATTGGAATAGTTAGGATCATGGTTGGGAGCCCATGGCGACGAGGGAGGTGCCTGGGTTTGTATGGAGGGGCTCTAGTTCCCTCCTGTTAATTGAAACTATTTTAGGGACGACATATAGTGGGCTGGGGACTGCTGATGTCGAATTTTCCCTGCTCTCCCCATGAAGCTGGCTAAATAGGTGAGGACGTCCAGTAGTTTCAGACACTCATAGCGACTTCTTTTTTCTACTTTTGTAGCCCTATTTTTGCCCTTACAGCGATTGTAGTTACAATCTTTAGTCATAGATGGCCCTCTTCGCTTAATTGTCCATATATGTCATGGGCACAGTTTAAATCTGTTACTAATGCTGTAGGTTATGCTTCTGTCTTTCATTTGGCTATAATGCCTTGCTAGAGATTCTTATGTAATCTCTTGATATTTAATATAATTCTCTATTTCTTATCAAAAAAAAAAATATTAAAAGAAATTAAATTTGTTAACAGAGAATTTAGCCATACCAATAAATAACTGACAGAAGGACAAAAGTAGCATGGAAAATTCAAGTTTAAAGACAAGTTTAGTATTTTTAGAAGTTCAAGGATTATATTTGAGACAAATTGAAAAGTTTAGGGAGTAAATTGGTATTTTAACCTTTTCTTTGCTGTCCTTCATTTTTTTTTTATTTTTTGGTTAATTGGAAATTATAGATCTGAACTTCTGATTTTCTTGAGGATCCAATCCGGTGCATGGAAACTGGCGATCAAAGTTTGTGCGAAGTACCAGTAATACAAGGAAAAATAATCAAAAGCTGGAAAGAACAAGAAACGTCTCACCGGAGACATAACATAAACTTAATTGGATTAATGCAACGGCACCCTGTGAAAGGAAGTCTTACCAACGCCATAAATGGACAAAAGCTACAGAAAAAACAAGACAAATTAAAAAATTAAAATGACTTCAATTAACATGCTTTGCGGTAATTTTCTATTCATCTAGTACCATTATGAAACACTAGTTTAGATTTAGAGTTAATTAATTATATATATTTTCCCTTCTAAATTATAGGGCACTAAGGAGGCCTGTAAAATAAATGTTTTAGTTATTGATAAAAATATACCTTTTAACCGACATAACTAATATTGAAATTAACCTTTATTTTTCTTCCTTTTTTTTTCTTATACAAGTTTTAATTTATTGACATATTTCAAAAAATAAAAAATAAAAAGAAAACTATAACGGCATTACCATAAAATAAAACAATCACGCAGAATTCAAATTCTTTACTTTTTTTTCCTTTTTAAATATTCATAGTAGTTTTTTAATATCATTCATCTTAAGGCAAGAACCGTATTAACTAAAAACAAAACTCAGAAGAAAAAGATAGGATAATCAAAAGCGAATTTTATTACACATAAAAGGTCTAAGGTAAAACATTTTGAATTAAATTGTATGTGTAGTACTCAATTAAACGCATCATTTGAGTGAAAAAAAATGTAATGAATTGTTTGAATGTGAACAATCTAAAGTTGAAAGATAAGTGCTTGCCCAACGTATGAAAAAGAAAAAGAAAAAGAAAGAGAGATAAAGGATGTTTGAAGAGAAAGAAAAGATAAAAGATACCTCTTTATTGAAAATGCACGCTTAATTATTGAATGTGATGTGGAACGGCCCGCTTTGGTCAATAGTATGAATTTTGAGTTAGGGTTATCTAACTCTATGGATTGTATGTTCGAACTTTACGAAATTTTTTTTTTTAATTAATCTTCTAAATAATTACAAATTATTCAAAAAAATTATTGAAAGTGATGTGAAAGATTTAAAATTTTCCAAACCTTTCAAAAAAAATTAAAAAGAAGAAAGTTTTCCACGACATCAATATAGAACATGATTGACCAACGAGGGGTTAGATCAAGTAGTAAGTGACTTGTTCTAGCTTAAGCAAGATTTTAAGTTCGAGACCTTATGTATGCAGCAACCTTTATTGGGAGACTCACCCACCATTTTCAGGTGCGCGA